CGCGCGCGCGCGCGACCGTCGCCGTCGGCAGACTGAGAGCTAATAAACCAGACCAAAAAAGGCGGAACCGGACGAGAACCGAATGCCACTGGTGCGCCAGCAAGAGCAAGCTCGCCTCGCCTCGCCGCGCCGCGCTGGCCCGCCCGGGACGCCAAGGGCGAACAAGAATAAAATCGATGAATCGGCGGTGCATGCGGAGGGACACGGAATACCGCGCGGGCGCCGGGTTATTGCTTTCCATCGATGGATGGGGCACAGAGCCGGGCAGAAAGGGGCGGACAACACTGTTCCATGCGAAATTCGGTAGACAGGGGGAGGGGAGGGGGAGGGGGGAGTATAGGGTCTCTCTTCTTGGCTGCCACGCCCCGCCAACGACACGAGGTCAAACGGCGGAAGAAAAGAAAAGGACAGCAGGCTTTGACTCCCCCGAGTCGATCTGCCCGGCCTCGCCACGCCGCCTTCGCACTGCCTTCTCTTAATTTGTTCAAGCGTCTCCCTCTCTTTTTCTCTCTCCTTCCACTCTTCTGCCCGCCGCCTTCTTTTCGCCCCGTCTTTTTTTTTTTCTACTTCTTCCTCTAGATATTTTTTTTCTTCCCTCTTCCTCCTCATTGAAAGCCCCCTCCGGAGCCCACCCTTTAAAGTTTTAATAGCACTCGACTATCAGAGGCTTTCGAGTCTTTCAGTTCGCATTTCCTAAGTAATGATGTGTATACAAGGCGGGCCCTCGACCCCTACTCTCTTCTGCGCCCCGTTTCCCCCCGACAGGCGAAAGGAAATCCGGATATTTCAGGGGAAAAGACTAATCGGGGAGAGAAGGGAACAGACAAAAATCAAATAATGGCAACAACATAATGAGGCAGGGGAGGCTTATTTAATTAAATTCGATTATAACACTCCAACGGGTATCCCCGGTGCACGACGCTCAGAGCACGTATTTTCTCTTAACGTAAGGGCATTGTTCCGAAAAGGTGGAGGCCCTAAACTCGAATTGTTTTCGGTGTGAGTCCGAGGTCAGGCGGGGCGCGCGCCGCGCGCGACGTGGACCAGACACCCGCAGGGTTGTAATCCCCACCGGGGCGGTTTGGAGCAGCGCGGCGGGGCGAGGCGAAGGCGGTGGAATTCCACAACGCGTCTCGACCCCGGAAGGAATCCGCGACCAAAGTTTCCCAGAGCTGGCGCGGAGAAAACGTTTAATTTTGATCCTCGCGCCCCGCCCGCGACGCCGCGCCGTTTCAAAGGGAAGGGTTTGAGCAGCAGCTTCCGTGAAGCTTTTGGGACGCGACGAGTCGTGTTGCAGCAGCAGTTCCCTGGTCGTTTCACCTCTCCTCCTGCGGGCGCGGGGCGCGCGCGTCTGCACTTCTCTGCTCCCCGCGCGGAAGAAGAACGCAGGGGAGCTAGGCGGGGCGCGGAGGAGGAGCCGCGAGGCGCCACTCACGAGAGGCTGTTGCTTTTGTTGCGCTCCCGGCTCCACCCCGGGCTCGCCTTGAGGAGTACTTTGTAGCGGCGGTGGGGGTGAAGGTCGGCGGCAGGCGGTGGTCTGGAGGCCTTCTTCCTCCCCTGCTGCTGCTACTGCTGCTGCTGCCGGACTTGGTTTTTCTTTCTCCTCGCTCGCGCCGTCGCTGCTGCTGCTGCCGCCTCCCCCGTCTTAATGACGCACGAAGGACCGGTCGTCAGGACGTTACCCGCTGGAGAAAATAAGCTGCCGTTCGTCCCACTCGACCTGGCGCAGCCGAGCGAAGCGGCCGGCGGCAGGCGCTTAATGCCTTAGCAGGAGGCCAGGACGATTTTCAGCCAAGCACACTCAGCAGCAGAGAATTTATGATTAAAGCCGAGAGACATCATTACAATTGGCGTAACCTAAAAGAAATCTTGTTAGAAAAAAATAAAATTGGACGACCGCGTATGCCGTTAACGACGATTGAGGTGAATCAGGCAGTCAGGATTTGCCTAATCTTGATGAAACATTTTGAAATTTTCGATTGCGAGTTTTCTACAAGATTCATGCGTTCTTCTCACCTTTGACCTTACCATCGTACACGCCCTCGGTAGCTCTACGGAGACTGTGTGGGCAATATGCGGTGCACGAGCACAGCTCGAGTGGCTGGAGGTGAACTTGGCTCTCTAAACTCCGCCCTCCACCGACACCCTAACAAAAAAGCAGTGGCTTTCTCGCCGCAGCCGTTTCCCCCTTTTTTTCCCCTTTCAGAACCTACTAAGCCATTAGCCGAGGTCAGGGGCGCGCGTGTATCGCGCAGCCCACGCCCGACCTATTCGGGTGGAGTGGGCCAAAGGAGCGGAGAAGGCGATTGGGTGATTACTTTGCCAAACGTGCGAACAGGGCTGGGCGGGGCGGGCACGGCGGGCACGGCGGGCATGGTGGGCACGGTGGGCACGGTGGGCACGGCGGGCACGGCGGGCAAGGCGGGCACGGCTCGCGGGGGTCTAGTAGGGCCCCGATCGCGACCCGCCCTCCACCCCTGCCGCTGCTATCCCTTTCCGACTCGGTCAGCTGGAAATCGGAGGCCGTCGGGGCGCAGAGCTTGTGTATGTAGCGAAACACGACACCGGGGCCACTTACTGCCCGCTTGTGATATATTCGAACAAGTAGCAGGCGCGCGCGACTGTGCGGCACGACGGGGGCGGGGGCTGCAACGAATGTGCGCCACTGGCGGAAAACACACGCGCTCTTTTGAGACAATTTTGTATCCTTCAGAGTTATGTTTCTCTCTTCAATTGATCCTTACGAAATATACTCGTAATAACTTTACGAGCAGTTTCGTAAACTTACGACTAACACTCTAAACTTTTTTTCTAAAATTGTTCCTTTTATTCGAAGCATTTTGTTACTATTCTCGATGAATCACGAAAACTTTTCAGATAATATTTTTACACAGACACACACGATGCTGCTGCACTTTCACGGCATTGTCCTGCGGCTAAACGTCATCTGCATGGCAAATACAACTGGGCTGCTTGCGGGGAGACCAGCCCCGCCGCCGGTCCTCCCCGCGCCGCCCTCCGCCCTCCCCCCTAGCAGCGCGCTGCCCCCCAGGGGGCCCCCCGGCTGCATGATGAGGATGCGGCCTTAGAGCCCGGTCCAGTGGGGCCAGCGGCGCGTGGCCCGAACCCTTTCCTGCCTGAAGGGGGGCTCCGCCGGGGCTCAGCGAGAGGAGGGCGGC